GCTCCGGGGGGTGAACAAAGGCCTCCTGTAGCGAATCGATGCGTTTTTGTACGAAAAATATCCATATTCAAAACGTAATAATCACTTTAATCTAGCTTGCACCAAGAGTCCTATACGGAAGCAGCTCCCGGAGCATGATGTAAGATGTCGGCGTTGAGCATGCGCCGGTGAGTCTCATGAAAACCAACATTTGTTTACAGGAGCAAAGGAAGCAAAGTTTCCTTACTTTAGCAAAAGAAAACCAGTCTCCTCTTGGCTTATATCGAAATCCTCCGACATTCTTCTTTACAAATCCTCGTTTTGTACTTCTAATTAGTGACCGTTGTTTTGTTTTGATCTCTCCCCTGTGCTTCCGCGTTCGTCACTTCTGAGCGGCGCATGCACAAAGCCGACCTCCATACGTCATCCTCCCAGAGCTGCTTCCGTGTACAACAGTGAGTGCAAGCTAGATTAAATTGATTATTGCGTTTTGAATAGGGTTATTTTTCTTACAAAAGTGCATCGATTCGCTACAGGAGGCCTTTGTTCACCCCCCGGAGCAGTGTGAGGCACTTTCTTTTATGGATGAGCGCTTTTTATTTCACTTCTTTGACCGGCTAAGGACCAGCTTAAACCAGCTCAAATGAATACCTAACCAGTATATGCTGTTTTTTTCAACAGTGCAGCTAATGGCAGCATTTTTTATTATCTTCACCAAATTTTCATGGCCTCCAGAATATTTTGTTTTATGAATATCTGAATGTGCAATTATATGTCAGAAGGAAGCACAGAGCCTCTGCTTTTAAATTAAATGTTTTATTCTAGCTTCATGCATTTTCTCTTTATCAACGCTTGAATGTGGGCAAGATTCCTAAAAAAGCATTTTGAACAAAATGCGGAGAAATTAAAATTTTTGTCAAAGACTACGTCTGAATCGGATTCAGAACGATGATCTCTCTTCTGGAGTAGATCTCAACTTTTCCAAGAATGTTGCATGGGCAGTGTACTTGATATTATTGGTTGAATAACAGTCCTAGCTTTCCTTAATGCCCTGGGAAGCTTTTTGTGTATATATTTTGTTTTATTGCTGTGATATGTGTGGGATAATGCTGAGGCATGTTTGTCCTTCTGCTGCAGGTGTTGAGGAGACTGAGTCTAAGCTCTGTTTGTGTGTTTACTGTGTGTACATGATAAATAGGAGCAGTGCTCATGCTGTATGAAAGCTTAGACCACAGTGGAGGGCCAGTGTCTTGCAGAGTTTAGTTCCAACCTGGCCAAACACATTTGCCAGGAAGATTTGAGTTATTCTGAAGACTTTGATTAGCTGGTTCAGGTTTTTTTATTAGGATTCTCTGCAGGATAGTGGCCCTGGAGGAGCATGATTCAACCACACCTGAGCAACATTAAAAACAGCAAAACAGATCCACACTGATGTCACTGTTGTAACATTCTACTTGCAACTTGTGCAATTTTTACTAGTTGGAAACTTTTCTTTAATTTTACCATAGCTTGAACTTGTCAATAGACTGCCTACTGAAATTTAAAAATGTTTTTATTAAAAAGTGAATTGTGTATAGCATAATGTCTTTTTTATAAAGGTTACAGAACGGAATTGTGGGTGTATAAATAATAACACATTCTCTTGTTTAACGATTTAGGTAGAGAAGATAAAAGCAGAGCAGAGTAAGCTTCCTCCAACTCCCTTGCTGGGACGGAAGGTTTTCTTGGACCCTCAGGACTCTTCTCCTGCTCGCAGTAGCCCTTCCTCCATCATAAGACAGACCATATACGAGCAGGGCGAGTCCCGGCTGGAGCGCATCACCCCTCAGCCCTCTCCCTCTTCCGTGGCCCGCAGACTGGGTTCTACTGTGGCCAACTACACTCCCATCATGAATGGAGCTGCTACTTATCGCCTTCAGGAAGCCAGGAATGCTGGGATTGTTGGAGTGGCTGCAGGACTGGGCACTGCTATGGAGCACAAGGTCACCCAATTGCGAACGGAATTTAAGGCCCAAGTCCCACAGCAGAAGATCGAACATATCCATGAGGCAGTCCACCCCATGCTGGAGAGAGCGAGGGAATGGGAGCGGTATCATGAGAATGTGATGGCAGAGGTGGTGCTCCAGGAACCAGGCGGAGGAAGGGAACGCCTAAACAGCATGGTGGGAGGGAGCGGGAGCAGCCGCTCAGAGCTTCTGGTGGAGCAGCATCCCCCACCAAGGGAGTCGCGGATAGAGAGACAACTATCTACTGAGCAGCTGATTCGGGCACGCAGGGACGAGCTGCCTCAGGAGGTGTGGCGAGAACGAGCTGGGAGGGTAGAGAAGAGGCTGGAGAGACAGACATCTAGTGAACAGGAAGGTCATGAGGTGCGGCGTAGGGACAGACACCGACCAGAGAGACAGGACAGCAGCGAGCAGGAGGCCAGGGAGCAGTCGGACAGACGCTCTGGTGGTGGGTGAGTGACTTTATTTGTGATCACAAACAAACCACATTACAAAAGATACAGCATTGCTGATATATACTGATATGTAGAGATTCTCTTGAAGGTGAACATCACCTTTAAGCTTCCACATGCTGGTCACCAAGTCAGTTCACAGCAAGCAGAGGTTCAAATAAATACGGACAGATTTCTAAGAAAACTTCTTGACTGCAGTTCACATTCACATTTCATGATCCGGTCGATTCCTGATGGATAAATTCTTCTTGTACATTACCTGTTGAACTGTTTAACCTGTCACATGAAGGAAGTAAAAGGATTGTAAATACTTTCCCATATTAGGGGCTTTTGCACCGGTGGAACCTTTTCATAGTTCCTAGAACTATTGGCGGACGTTTGCTCTTTTTGCCGTGTTCGCACCGCAGGAACTAGGAACGGTTTTAGTTCTAGGAACTCCCCATTTGGGGGAACTAATTTGGCTCCTACTTCAGAGTAGGGTCTAAAACAATTCTATAGGAACTATCAGTGATGTAAGTGTGTGCTGATTGGCCAAACGCATACAAAACACTGGCTACCCGGCATTTTTAAAAAGCCATGTAAAAAAATCTTTACTCCACGAGCATGGAAAACAGCGATAACGGCATTTAGGTACCTGTTGTATGCAGTGTTGTGTTGTTTTCTCAGCCTCGATGAAATGTAACACTGCAAGTTGTCATAGAAGATTTAGTCAGAATTTCATGCTCTTTCAGTAAAGTAAATAGTGCGTTTACATTTCACCTCCGTTATCATGAAAACCATGACACACAGCAAAAACCACTCTGATCACGGCGTCTTCTATTCACCAGTTGTTGATGTTTGTATTAAAATACCGCGAGTAAAGATGTCGCTGTTGGCCGCTTTAGAGTTCCTGCTGCTGGAGCAACCAGGAAAATGGACCAAGTGGGAAATTGGTTCTCTAGAAACCACCATGCTGGCTAGTTCCTAGAACTATGCGGTACGAAAGCCCCTACTGACTTTGAAGTAGCCCAGCAACTTTTTTTCTGTTCTGTTCAAGCAAAATAGCATTTCCAGGTCTCAGATTTCACCCCTTTATGTTGGCAGGGACAAAAGGTCGACGCTAGCTGAGATTGTGGAGCAGCTTCAGGAAAGAGAAGCAGCACAGGTGTGTGGACAATCTAATGTTTATGTATCTTGTTTTAAACTACATTTTATCACATTACTGTTTATTTCCAACTCAGGCCCGAGGAGAGATTCCATGTCTACCCAATGGTTTTCCTGAGAAGTCTTCTAAACCGGACCGACCACGTGCTCGCGACAGACCCAAACCGAGAAGAAGACCACGACCCAAGGAGCCAACAGCTGGCGAAACACGGCGCTCAAGGTCTGCACCAGCCCAGAGCAGCCCACCAGTTCCCCAGCCGGCTATCCACATGGCCCAGCATGAAGGGTTCCTCTTCCGCAAAATAGACATTGAAGGCCAAAAGAAGAGTTCAAACAGGTGGGGCTTTGTGATCTAAAAATTATGGGCACATGGCATGGAATTAGCATGGAAATGGCTAAACCAAATATGCCAATCAGTATGATTGGTTATTCAAAGCTATGCTAATGTTATTATTAGCATTGTGTACTGATGCTTAGAGCACTAACATTTGTTATTACAAGGCAGCTCTTATTTTCTTTCACCAAGTTTCAAGTCAAACTGTGATATGCTTGAATGCTTTACGAGCCTAAAATGTTTCCTGAAGTTAAACTGAGGAGCAGCTGTTTGGCTTGTCATTTCTGATTACAAGATTCATATCTAGCTATGGCAGAAAATAGCTAGCTGTTAGCACTGCTTGCCACTTGCATGGTAATACTAAAATCAGCCTGGATGGTGGATGATACTGTGTCAGAAGACCAACAGATGCTGGGTCTCTGAAGCCATGGCTTGCAAGGTATGAAGCCTTCACCATTTACAGCTTTATACAGCCATTTTGTATAAGACCGGATACGCCACCTTTGCAGCCCAAGTCACAAAACAATTCATTGCATTGAGGAGTTTAAGGAACTCAAAAGAATGGCTGTCTGTTCTTTTGTAGCATGGTTTGCACATAATCTGCCTGTCCACTGACGCCATTTTCATACTAGCATATTTGCGTTTATGTTGCAGTATATCTCATGAACCAAAATCTCTCTTCTTTCTTATGCTCTCTTTGCCACCGACTGTTCTTCTCCCTCTCTACAAAGGTAAGCCATGGTCTGTCCGTCTCTTTCTAAAGGTCTAATGATTTTTGCAGCAGTTTGGTCTTGCTCAGTCTTAAAAGCTGGTCATCCCAGACTCAGTAGGTGAGTAGCTAGTCGGTCCATGGTGTCATCTGGGTTCTGATGGTCAAATCTTCTGCTTTC